TTTGCTGGAAGGGTTGGACCTGGATGGCGTCTCACCCCAGCTGGCCTTGTGGGAGGGGGAGGACGTGCCTGCAGGGTTCCTTGGAGCTATGTTTACCACCTTCCTTTTCTCACTGGTTTTACTCCAGCAAGCAACTAAGACCATTAGGCAAATTCCATGTGGAATTCTGGAGTTCCACATACCCCTACGTGGGTGCTTTCCAGAAAAACAGAGTTCTTCTCTCAGGGAGTCAGGGTGAGAAAGGCAGAAGATACTGACCAGAGGATGGTAGAGAGTCCACAACAAAATCCTTACCAAAAACCTTGACCCTGGTAGAGCTCTTCAGGATTTTGCCAGGCCTGACTCTGATGTAGCAAAAGAACTTCCGGCCATCATCGAAGATTCGAACTGGAGAGAGGTGGAGTCTGTAGTCTGCACTTAACTTTACTCTGTCTTTAAATAATGTTGAATTGCTGATGAGATGATCTTGGCTGAAAAGTGTTTCTAGAGTTGCATTATTCTCCTGGTGAGAAAAGTTGTTACCAGTTATTTAGCATTCAACTGTCAGATTCTAGAATAGACATTTCACATGCATTAATTCTTTTATTTCTATAAAATAAAGAGGAAGAATGAAGACTTGAAATTAAGAGATATTTTAGTATATTACTAGAGAAAGTATCATTACACTGGATTTTCAATTCAAAACTACTGTGACTCTTTTAACACATAGAAATTTGCCACTTTTCTAACTAGACCTTTCCTTTCCTTATCTTCCATAAACTGCATATATCTGGGGTAGGATTTCAGGGGTGAAAAGGGGAGCCTAATAGAAGGTCCTAATTCTCATTTAGGAAGTTCTGACATCTTACTACTAAGATGCGCTGAAAAGACTGTACTAGTTGTGTTTATAAATCTCCACGTGAAACTGGATGATTACAGCTATCCCAGGATGTCTTTAGAAAAGGTCTCGTTTCAGTTTTTCCCAGAGCCTGGACTAGGACTGGGTAAAGGGGCACACAGGGCACAACATTAGAGGAGACACTCACTCCTGGGGTCTTGCAAGTGTTGGCAGCTGAGACTGAGAACTTCATTACATTTTGTGCCCTGGGCACCTCCTTGCCTCAGCCTGGTCCTGGTGCTGGTCCTATTTCGGTGTTTGTGCTGGCTTCCCAGGGGATACATCAAGAGTAGGCTGCAAATAGGAATCTGAATTTTGGAAATAAGAGCTTATTTGAAAGACTTAGCTGCTCTATTCCAGTAATTTTCAAGTGGTGTGCTGGGATAAGATCTTAGGTGTGCCGCCAAAAATTTTAAAGATCATTAATTAAATTATTTTTTCAAAGAAATTCAAAGCACAGTAAGTATATCCTTTTTGTTTTTTTTTAAACTCTTTCTCTCTTTTTGGATCAACATAGTTTAAGTGTGCTTTGGACGTTTCACTATGGGTTCAAGTGTGCCGTGAGATAAAATAAGGCTGAAAAACACTGCTCTGTTCTGTACCCATAATTGGGTCTGTGCAGAAAAGTCCTATTATCCTTTCCCACTCATCGTCTCCTTGGACAAGCTCCCTGAGGGTGTCACATGTTGGTCAGTGTCAGTGGATGTGCTCACTTAAGGGCCCGGAGAGGAATTTGAGGGAGAATAGGTAGAGGAAGGGTTGGGTCCTCAGACCCCATTAGTGTAACTCAGGATTCTAAATTGAGCTGCTTTGAAAACACTCTATGCACACATGCCTTGTCCAGATACTCTAATTCATATTAGTCTTGGGTAAGGCCCAGGCTGGGCATTTTTTAAAAAGGTTATCAGGGGAGCCAGGGCTGAGAACCATTGGCCTAATTTGAAACAAGATTATGAATCATTGTGTACAGGTGTCAGGGAAATAGAAGGAACTCAAATGGAGCAGGGTGAACAGGAATACATTTAATGGGGGGGAAGTCATAAAATAATGAAAACAAAGATCTGTGACATGGCCTTTCTAATTTTAAAAATTAGAAAAATTCAGAGTGGGAAAAATGGCAGCCAAGTGAATGAGTGAATTCAAGTGTGGGCAGAAACACGGAGGTGAACTTCTTAGTGTAATTATTTATATAATTCCAGAATATTCTTAATGGAAACCCTTACGTAAGATGCAATCGTTTAGCAGAATGTGGCTAGGATTGGTATCAGCCTTACATACAGACAGCACTGCAGCCTGCAAAGAATCACGCCTGCTCAATAAAGTCCTACCCGGTAGCAATGTACATACTTCTATACCTTCCTACAGAAGGACCTAGTGTGTGTGCTGCCGTCTTCCTAATGAGAAAGACTACTAAAAAAACACAGGGAGAAAGATTGTATTTTCAGATACTACACGCCTCAGGGGTCCCCAGAGGAGCCCTAAGTCTTAGGTGGTGATAGCAGAAGACTGAGGAAAGCATGTGGCTCAGTCACTGGCCTGAAAGTCAGTAATTAAGGAAGCAGGCGCCCCCTGCAGGTCCCTTGGCACAGGAAGGTATATTTGACAGCCTCTTGCATTATGCTGGAGACTTTTCGTAAGGATTTGGGAGTTTAAAATATTTCTTAGTCATCTGATATACAACTTGACATCTGAAATATTTCCATGTGTCACATTGTGTGTGTGTGTGTCTGTGTTTGAGACAGGATCTCTCTCTGTCACCCTGGGTAGAGTTTTATGCTGTCATAGCTCACAGCAACCTCAAACTCTTGGGCTCAAGAGATCCACTTGGCTTAGCCTCCAGAGTAGCTGGCACTACAGGCACCCACCACCATGCCTGGCTAGTTTTTTCTATTTATAGTAGAGACAAGGTCTCACTCTGGCTCAAGCTAGTCGCAAGTTCTTAAACTCAAGCAATCCACCCACCTGGGCCTCTCAGATTGCAAGGATTACAGATATGAGCCACTTTGCTGGCCTGTTACTTTATTTTTAGAATAAGGCAGCCACACGCTGAGGTGACTGGTGAGAAAAAAACTGGCGAGAAAACCACTTTTTTCTTTATTATGTAGGAGGGTGTAACTGGCCAACGTGTTTTAATTGATAGAGAAAAGATAAAAGAACCCCCCCCCAACTTATCCAAAGATTTGTTTTTTCTGGGTAGTTGAATTTTGCAATGGGAGAAATTTGTTCCTTCACTGAGAAATATGGGATTCAGTTGCCAAGATTGCCTGTAATCTACAGGATAAAGAGATCCTGAGAGATTCTAGAGCCCCATTTATAAAGGGGCCCATGGCAGGAACCTGCATGTGAGTGGCTGTCTTCATGTAGCCAATGGAAAGAGAGGTGGGCAAAACCAGCACAGGCAAACAAGGACCTGGGGCTGGGAGAGGGAGGAATCATACTAATATTATGCTATGACCACTATTAACAATTTATATTCTTATTAGTCATAGATGAGATTTATTTAACACCTATTACATTCTGGGCATTCTGAGAAGCTCCTTCAAGTCTTAACCCTGTTTGCTGCTTAAAACAATCTGGAGTAAATTGAGGTTAAATAATTTGCTCAAAGGTTGCACAAAGTAAGAAAGTATTAAGTCACAGGAGCAAACAACAAGGATGTCCAAAACAAGGGACAAATAAGCCTCAGAGACAACATATACTAATCAAAAATAAACCATAAAAAATTTAAAAACTTTCCGGAGTATCTGGAATGACACATTTAAAGGAAATGCAAGAAAACCCAGAAATCTTTATACACAGTACATTATAGATTGCAGAAGTATGAGCAACTTGTTGATGGGAAGGAGGCTTTATGAATATTGGCCAACTTTGGTGAGTAGGCGTTGTGGAACAAAGCTCAAAGCTCAACTTCTACCTAACCATAATGACCTTAGGTAGCCTGATCTGCAGGAAACAGACTCAGAGGTTCTTGTACAGAGCCTTTATTTCTACCTGGTTTTATTTTCTTTTCCTGTTATTCAAAGAAAAACTATCACCAATCTTTAAAAATATGAATCCACATTTCTGAAACTTTATGGAGTCTAACCTTGGTAGACACTTATTTTTTAAGGAGGAGTGTAGATTTAAGTAGCTAATGTATATAATACACTATTCTGGTCCTGGTGCTTCATAGGTGTTCACTAATACAAACTCACTATCCTCCAGTCCCATCTTTGATCAACCTGCTATTTCATGAGTGTTCACTACGTGCCTGTCTAAATTGAGAAATTATAGAGAGTCATTGCTATGGTTTGAACGTTTTTGCCCCTTTCAAAACTCCTGGTGAAAGTTAATCGCCAGTGCAAGAGTATAGGAAGGTGGAGCCTAACGGGAAGTGGTCAGGTTAAGAGGGCTCTGCCCTCAGAGATGGGTTAATGCCACTATAAAAATGGCTTGTGGAGGTAGGTTCTCTCTCTTCTGCACTTCGGCTGTATAAGGACAAAATGTTCTTCCTCTCCAGAGGATGTAGCATTTAAGGTACCATCGTGAAAGCAGAGAGACCAAGGCCCTAACCTGCTGGTGCCTTAATTTTAGACTTTCCAGACTTCAGAATTATGAGAGAATAAATGTCTGTTCTCTGTAAGTTAGGTATTTACTTATATATGTACACAATGGACTAAGACAGTCATAAAGCCACAAATTGTGCAATCTGTTCTTCTGTTACTGTCAACCTTTATACCACCTTGGGGGACTCGATGGCCATGAAGCCTAGGAGCCAGAGGCTGATTAGAAAATAGTGTTCTCTGAACAATATAAAGACATCAAAGTCAAAACAATCAATAGTTTGCCTTTATTTAAAATTTTTATATTGTTCCATCATGAATTTTCCCTAGCTTTTGATTTTTTAATATTATATTAAAATATTTATCTGGATTACTGATATTTTTGTGCTTCCTTAATTTTGCTCTCAGGTTTGGAGGTCTTACTCAATTCATCCCAACCCTACCCTTTAGGTCACACAGCTGGCGGTAGAGCCAAGACTTGAAAACAATTTCCCTTCATTGGTCACGCTGTTAATGACTTTGCTATATTCGGCCTCACGAAAATAGTAGAAGGGACAGTCTTTGCCTTTTCTGCTCACAGACTACTTGAGGAGAGGAATGAATTCACAAGAAAAACAAATATAAAACCCAGACCCATGGGGAAAAATGTATAATTACATACAAGAGTTTGATAAAATAGTTAACATGATGAGAGATGAGTGGGGTTACATAGGATAATGACAAACTGCTATTATATGCCCTTTAAACATCTGAAAAATTCAAAAATAATTTGTTGAGGCTTGTTTTCTTTTGTCCTAGAATCAGAATTTTTAATCCAGAAGAGGCACCTTGGTACTACAGGCTGAGTATACCTTATCCATAAGGCCAGAGTATTATATATTTTGGACTTTTTAAATTTTGAAACATTCGCATTATCCTTACTGGTTGAGCAGCCTAAATCTGAAAATCCCAAATCTGAAATGCTCTGAGGAGCATGTTGGCTTTCAAAAATTTTCAGATTTTGGAGCATTTCAAAGTCTGGATTTTCAGATTGGGGATGCTCAATCGATATGATTGAGGAATGCTGCTATCTCATCTCCATGC